AGAAGTTAGCTGGCATATATTTTGCCATTCAGCAATGGATTTAGTAATTAAGTAGTACTGTATAGGTCTTATCAATTCAAGTGACCATTAACACTTATTTCAAGGTCTATTTTGTTGCCACTGCTTCATTGTACTGATGGAGTGTAAAAAGTAGTTAAAGTCAGAAACATTTTACTATTTTTATCTCACTTCAGAATCGTATTTATTTACAACAATTGTAAAGGATGGCTGAGTGACCACTCTTCCTCTTATGTGAAAGGAAAGGCCAACTTATTGAGACAAAATTGATCTGTTCAAGGATGCTATAACATATATTACTATGAAAATGTTAATGGGAATACAACTCAGTGGTACAGTGCTTGTCTGGCTAGTGCAAAGTCTAGAGTTTGATTTCTGACAGCAAAACAATAAACAAAAAAAACCCCAAAATAAAACAAAAAGTGCTACTTTATCAAGCAATACTTGTTGCCTTCAACACTGAAAGACAGCCTGAGGATGTCCGCAGTTCCTGGGAAGCTGTGTGTTCCCACTGGCAGAAGGGTTGCAGGCTGAAACTTTCCATGTCTGCTCTACAGCTTCATGTCACCATTCGCCCAAGGCCACTGGGTCCTCTCATATATCATCAGGATATAAACATCCTGACTGGTGTGCCCTGTTTATGTCAGTTACCAAGGAAGATCATGACATACGTGTCATCTCTCTGGGATGACCCCAGCCCCCTCACATGGCTCTGTGCATCCTTTTCACCCACCACATCCTTCACTGTACCACCCTCTGAGGACATACTTGCCCTCTCGCTTCCCTGACATTCTTCTCGAATTGAAGTTGCCTGGCACCTGATGCCAGAGCTCTCCTGCACCTCCTTCAGATACGTTGTGATTGTATTTGGAGTCACCCAAGAAGTGCTATTCATGTGCCCAAGGAAGATGGTTTTTGTTTTTATCTCCTAAAATCCACCTGCTTTTAATTTTAACCAGCAAGCTACAGTGACCTCTATTTCTCTTTTTGTAGTCAGCCAGGGATACTCCTCCCTTTGGTTTCTCTATTCTCAGTTCTTTAGCTTTTGTCTCTCCATAACCCTCCATGTTCACTCCAGTGGCAGTTCTGCACATACTCAGCGGTACGAGGATGGTATGTTCCGCACCCTGGCTTGCCACGTGGTAACCTCAGCTGTGAGCATCCTTTCGTTCACTCCAATTCAGGCACCCTGCACCCCTGGACATCCCCCTGACCTTCTCATTACTGACCACATACCTCCTTCCACACCTTCAATTTCAGTATCATCCTTTGGCCAATGCCTACATTTGCAGTTATTTTATTTCTCAAACTGCACACATTTCCTGAACCCACTGGCACCTGTAACACACTGCTCCTACTACTTCTCCCTGCCCCTCTCATGCCTCTGCTTACCTGGATGAAATCTAACTGCTCAGTCATTATAGCCACAGCTGTAATCTCACTTTTTTCCCTTTGTTCCAGCTATCCATCGTGGCAGAACCCCAATCCTCTTCTGTTTCTGCATCTGCACCCACAAGTAGAAAGTTACTGAAAACTTCAGGCTTATTGATCTTATTGAAAAACAGTGCATTTTCCAAATATATTCAAGCCCTGTCCTCCTAGAGGACAATTTTATCATCTTTTTCCTTCTGTAAATTTCTTTTTACAGAAGAAATTATACCCATCCAATACCATCTTCACTCTCAGCTGATACTCTAGCTTCCTGTTCTGCTAGAGAAACAAGCAAGAGAGGGCTTCAAGCTGTTCCACCATCCGCTGCTGCACTCTTGTTCTTCTGTGTCCATGCACACTGCCTTCTGCACTACCCGGAAGCTGCCTGTCCTTTCCTCCAAGACCAGGCTTATGTCTAAGGATATCAGTCCTGATCATTTCCCTCCCTTTTCTGCATCATCAGTCTACTAACTTTTCTATCGCATGATCCCAATCAGCTCATAAACATGTGGCAATTTTTCTCATGAAAGAGCATATATTTGTGATCCCATATTTCCAACTCTAGACAACTAAATTCTTTGCTTTTTTACAGGTAAATTCTAACAAGAATTAAGAGTTGTCTCTATTTGCTGTCTTCCACTCATTTTCTCCTTCTCACATGAACCTTTTATAGGCAGGCTATCACGCTCAGCAGTCTACCGGTGACAGTCCCAACATTGGTCAAGGTCAACAATGAGCCCTATGATGCAGGCTCTTATGTCACTTGAGATTCTGTTACTACTTGAGCAGCAACGGGGAATAGATCATCTCTCCCCTTAGGAATGCTTAAGTCCATTGGCTTCTTGTTTTCAAAAACTTTCTGGATTTCTTCCCACTATTTTCCACTTCTACGTACACAATCTGCCTTACTCTTTTTTTTTTTCCATAATTTTATTGGCAGAAGGATTTTTTCTTTTTTAATTTTTTGCTCCAAATGCCTTCAGGGCAGGTTTGGCTGGCTTGAGTTGTGGGGATTGAACTGCAACAACCTGAGCCTGACTACTTTGTTGAAGCAGCCACTTAAAGAACTGAGCTAAGAGGCAGGCCCCCGCCTTACTCTTTATTACTATTTCAATTTTGCAACTCTTGGTTTGCTTCCTCACCAGCCTCTTCCAGTCAATTGGCCTCTATACTATTATGAGCAAGCCAGGCACAGTCTCTTCAGGGCCTCTGGAGGGCTTGCGGGTTACTCAGTTGTTTAACTGCCTGCTTGAGAAAACACAGTCAGCTGGTTCGATCCAAGCTCTACATGTCTGACCAGACCCATCCTTAAGGCAGCCTGAGCCAGCACCCCCCCAACAAAAAAAAAATCATTCTTCAGGGCCTCTACGTGTGTGTGTTCCTCTCTAGACATCTCATTCCCTTGAGGTCACTATGGCATTTTCTTCGACACTTTTCAGTCTTCACTCTTGTAGTACCTGCTTGGTGAGACTTTCACTGATCACTTTACATAAAATTTTGCCTTTCCCCCTGGTATTTGCTATCTCTCCTTTTTGTTATACATTTCTTCACGACAGTGAAAAGTAGCTAACATAATGCTGAACATATTTATGCCTACATAACACAACATGGGTTTCTCCTACTAGAATAAAAGTTCAATGGTGATTTCTTTTCCATCTTCTGTCCTTATAACTATGTATAGAGCATATAGTGGGTGCTAAGTAATAGCCATAGAATGAGAAGAAATAAAATGTGGCTTTGTGGAAAATAGAGATCAATTTGTTATGATGTATTCTACAGCCCTAACTAATCAGAGAAGCACTACTATTTAGGGTGATTTGATCAAATTTTTAGGAGAATGCAAAATGGTCGGACTGTTTATGCAGTTCTACTGGGATGATTACAGTTGGCTTCTTCTAATTGCTCAATGACTCTAAAATAAATATGGAAACAATTTGCAAGTAGTGGTACACATTAGAAGAGAAGCTCCATTATCTGAACAGCAATGTCAGGGGAATGATCAACAACATTTGATTTAAGAAGTCTCTCAGGTTTCTACTGAAAAATGGGTATTAGAGGCAGGTGATTTAATAAGTAGGTATGTTTGAGGATTCATTTATCAATTTTTATCTGTAATGCAGGAAAATTGGCTTTGCTCGTATTTGAATAAACATTTATAGCTGCTTCTTTGAAAGCACAAATTGAGGAGAGGTATACTATAATTTGTTTATTCAAGGATGAAGAAATGATTCTAGTTTATTTTTATCCTCCATAAACAGCACTTTCTGGTTTTAATTCATACTGGGAATAAACAGTCATACCTTGCCACTCACACATACCAGACAAAAACACACAAACTGAAAACATGGACAAACTGAGCCCCCCCAGCTATTGGCATTTTATATGGTCAGAGTTGGCAAAGATCATCTTTGGGAATAAAAAGCAGTAACAGGAGTGTTAGGTAGGCTAACCAATGCATTGCCAACTACTCAGCGCAACTATTTTAAGGATAACCTGACTATTAGATACCTTAATTTAACATACTAATATAGAATCTGTAGTTCACGTAAGGGGTAAGAGATGTGCAGTTGTCCTTGGGTACCCATGGTGCAAGCCTAGTTCCAGAACTCCCACAATACAGTACGATGCAAAGAGATTCAAGTTCCTTGTATCAAGTGGTGTAGTGTTTGCATATAATCAACATACAACATCCATGTGCTTTAAGGCACCTCTCCATTACTAATAATACTTACTGCTAGTAAATGCTAAGTACATACTTGCTTGACACATTTTTAAGAATTTATATTTTTGTTGCTGTGTTCTTGCCCACACCCCCCTCAAGTGTCTCTAATCTGCTGTTGGCTGAATCCATAGACGTGGAACCTGTGGATATGAAGGGCTAAATATAAGCATCAGGAGTATATGCATGCATACACGTATGCATATATTTAGCACCCTAAATTATTTCCTTTGCATATCTATTTAAAATGTGACACTCCTTACTGAGCAGAATGTAGCATTTAAATCATCTATGCTCTAAATGGGTCATCCTACGCATGCCACGGGCACACATTCATATAGAAAGTGACTGTTGTGAAAGACAGATCACACATGCAAAATACAAAGATCAGGTGAAAAGCACTTGCGCATCTCCCACAGACAGCACATCGCAGTGTCTGTTACTATCGATCCCGCAGGCATAATTCATCTCTGCATTTGTTTGTTTGCTCATCTGCCACTATGCGGTGCCTGCTTACTGCTCGAGTCTTGAGATGAAACGCTCTGGCAGATAGCAGATGTACCAATTAATAACCTGTCAGGTCTGATGGATAGAAGACGAAAAGTGTCCTCACACATGTCTGCAGCATGGCTTTCTTCCCTACTTCAGGGCTCTGTGGGTCAGGAGACACACTCAGCCTCCCTGGGGGGAGCCCAAACTGTCTCATTAGCGTCTATCTTTGACGACACCGTGATGCGGCCTTTGAGAGGCTGACTCACCTGCTCTTCTCCAAGGATCCTGAAGTGATGGAGCTCTTTAATCAAGGAGTTGGGGCAGCCAGCTGTTGGAGAGAAAAATTAATCACTAAAATGTCATCCTTATTCTGTGCAAGATACATTCTTACATGCGGTTATGACTATCAATGACCAAAGCTGATGTTTGGGAGGATGTAAATGTGTGCTTGGAAACATGAGTCCAGCCAATCACAGAGAAGGCTGACCTTCATAATAGCAGTCTCTACCACCTCACTCCACCTGCAACTTGTTGGGGAAGGGTCACGTGTGATTCTGGCCAATCCCTTCCAGCTCCTTGTGATGACATTTGTGGAGCCATAGGATACGTGTCACACATTTCTCTTCTTTGTCACCTATCCCTAACACAGAACCAGGGTTTGGAGCAGGAGAGAGCTGGTGACTGCGGGTTCTCATTGACTGACTCCTGTTTCCTCAACCCCCAGGGGCAGGGAGGCTCAGTGCAATTCCAGAATGGAGAACAGAGCAGGTGGGTGTTCTATCTTTACAGGATTCACCGAGGTTGAGGAAACCCGCCTGGCTCTTCCAGAAGGCTGTGTTCATCAAGATCCATATTTTGCCCTTAAGCTTGGGAAGCTCTTTTATGGAAGGACCCTGGGATAGGGTGTGGAAATCTTTCCACCCATCACTCTTACCTGTTCAGGCTTTCACATTTTATTTCTTCAGTTATAATGAGGTAATTAAATACATACATGAACAAATAATATATATGGCTGTCTATATATACACCTACATTTATATGTTTACAAATTAGTATGTACTTATTCTCCATTAAAATGTGTTCTATTCCTGTCTTTTCAATATAATTATTCCATAATATTATAGTGTACTTATTTACAACATTAACTCTGGAAGCAAAATGGATATAAAACTTGTTTCTTTGAGATAAGACCTAGGGATCTCAACTGAAGTTTCTATCAAGGAGATTGGATCATATGAGGAACACATCAAAGATATCACAGTGATTTCTTATTTCACTCAGCATTGTGATGCAAGAATAGTTGGAGGTAGTGAGGGTGTTTGAGCAAAGCAGGCTAAGGAATGATAAAACTTGTCATCACATGGGTGAAGGCATCCTTTACAAGGGTAGTTTGGCTTGTGCATTGTTTTAGGAGGCAGGACTTACACCAACAGAAAAACAAAAAAAATGACTTCTTAAGCCATTGATGGAAGGTTTGTAAATAGAGGCTATGTGAGCTTTTCCGTAAGATATTTTAAAGAAGAATTTGAGTAGAGTGGCTGATTTTATGAGTCAACTTGACCAACCCAAGTAATACCCAGATGGCCAGTAAAAACATTATTTCTGTGTATGTCAATGAAGGTCTGTCAAGAAAGGATTAACAAGTGTTCAGACAATGTACTGAATGAAGAAGATTGCCCTCACTTCATCCAGGATACCTCAGATCTGAACAGAACGAACAAGAAAGAGGTTTAGTTATCAGTCTTTTCTGGAGCTGGAACATCCACCTTCTCTTGCCCTCAGAGTGCCTGGTTCTTGGGTTTCTCCTGTGCAACTCACTTAAGCCCCTGCCTCCCTGTCCTCAGCACCCCCAGTCTGAGTTGCAGAGCTTCCTGGATCTCAGCTACTCTCAACTCAACGGTCAGTTCCCCAAATAATTTTCTCCTATGCCTGTCTCTACAACTGATTCTGTTTCTTTGAAGAACCCCAACTAACACCTGGGTTAGTCACAATTCTGAAATTCTGCGGTCATGGAAAGTGCCAAGACAGAGTTATAATCTTTGGTAACACTCAGCATCTCCTGCTATCAGAAAATGGGTTCATAAATATTCACCTAGACAGTACAAAATATTTCTTCTTGAAGAAAACAAATAAAAATTTGGAGGCAAATATTTTGGTTGAAAACATGATCAATCCATGGCACAGAGTTGTCTGATACCGCAGACAAGGAAAGCTGCATCCCTTATATGAGAGACGTAATTAGGCTGAGTGCCTCTCCAGCAGGAGAACTTGCAGGTTCATGTTGTTACAATTTGGGGCCCAACAGCTGACTCCTTCTACAGCGGGTCACTGTGGGAACGACCTGAAGGGTGTATTTCTATTGTTTGTTCCTCCCTTCTCTACCTACTACCTGGCCTCCATGATGTGAGCAGCTTTCTTCCACACCAAGGCCTTCTACGTGTTGTGTCTGCCTCTTAGGCACCTTCCCAGGGACTGCAAGCCTGAGCCTAAATAGACATGTTCTGATTGAGGTAATGTCCACCTCAGGATGGCTCTCCTAGTGGTCACCCGAACAATTAGTAAAAAGGGGTCCTGATCCATCATTCTTTTGACTGCAGTGCAACCAAAAACTGCTGTGTAGATTCAGCTTAAGGTCATTTAGAATTTCTAACATCCTTTCTGGGAGCAAGCAGTCACAGTATAGATTTTTGAAATGAATCAGAAAGAAATAGAGAATGATCAAATGTGAGGGCTGTTTTGGCAGCAAGAGCCAGCACATGGTCTAGGCTGAGAGTATAAAGGGAACAGCCTCGAGGAAAAAGGATGGAAACTGGAACCAGCACACAGCCAAGGCAGCAGGTATGGGGCCGAAGGGTCTACACTAGTCTTTCAAGGCTCTGCTTAGGGTCACTAAAATGACAGCACCTGCCACAATAAATCCATAGTTTACTTTGGTTTTGTATTTTTATTTATCTTTATAAGTTTTTATTTTGGTGTTATTTATTTATTTATTTGTATATTTGATACAGGGTTTCACTACACAGTTCCAACTCCTACTGATCCTCCTATTTCTGTAATCCCAGCACTGGGATCATAGGCATGTGCCACCATGCCTGCTTGCAGGGCCAGCACAGTGTGCCCAGGATTCTGGGGTTGGCATGGTATCAGTACTGGGGACTGAACTTGGGACCTTGTGCTTACCAGGCAGGAGCTTAGACCACAGAGCTACCCCCAGCCCTCTTTTACTTACTTAAGCATAAAATGTTTATATTTCAGTTTATTTCTAGATATCTTTTTATTTTATTTTATTGAGAAACACATATCAATGAGACAGTTTCAAAGCAGATTAATAGGACATTTTCAATAATTAATACATTGTACATTGGTATCTTCTTAGTAGTTATCCATAGTACAAGAAGCAGACAGGATATCCTGTCCAAACACATATTAGTACAAATCTTTCTTCTCATTGAATTAAGCGAAAGTAGCTGTATATCTATCCTAACTATTCTGAATATACAAATACAGACTGGTCCTTCCTTTGTATCCCCCTTTTTTTGTTTAGTCCTGTCAGAGATGGGTATTCCATTGGCATCTAAATATTATAGGTGCTTGAATTTAGCAAAACAACCCAACACAGTCCATCAGTCCACAGTAGTAGTGGGTTATCCAAAGAAGTTGTTGACTAGAGCCTTGTACAGCTCAGCATATTAATATGGCTTTACTTTATGCACCTCATTTTTATACTTTTCTACTGAATGGTTAAGACCAAGATAAAGCAAGACCTATATAACAAGAAATGTAACTTTTGTATCTGATAAGGTCAGTCAATTCCCCTCAGGATTTATCCTGAAACCCTGTACTGCACTTTGTAGATCCCTTGTCAGTGTCAGCCATGTGGATGCTAGATATCTTTTTAAAATATTACCTTAAGATAATTTCCTTCAGCTAAGAAGGTGTTTTTTTTGTTTTGTTTTGTTTTGTTTTGTTTTGTTTTGTTTTGTTTTGTTTTTGCCAGCTCAGGCCACCCTGAGGGTGGGGCTGGCTTGGTATGTGGTGCCCACGATCGAACTGCAGTCCCCTACACCTGCCTAAGCTTGCCTAAGCAGGTACTTTAGACTGCTGAGCTATCTCGCTGGCCCCAACTAAGAAGTTTAAAAGGACTTTTTCCCCTTACAATTGTCTTTTACATAACTTGAACTTGAGAACAATGACTTTGACTTATTTTTATTTTAGGTAAAATAGAAAAACAGAATTTGAGATGAGCTCTTTTCAGAATTTATATTCCAGTGTTCTCTTAAACTGTGAGTAAAAGGATGGATGTCAGTGATGGCTCCATAATCACTGAAGCACCTGGCAGGTGCAATAAAGTATAATAAACAAAGACGGATGCAGCATGTGGTTAGAAGTCACGAGCAGCGAGGGTCGAGATGTTGAGGATCATAGAGGAGAACCTGTATGTACACTGTGTGCACCACAGGCGCACCACTGTGAGAAAGGGCAGCAATGGACTCAGTGTACAAAGAGCTTTAAAAATATCAAATTTAATGTTGGAAGTGGTAGAATACATCTGTAATTAATCCTAGACACCTAGGAGGATGAGGCAAGAGGATTGAAAGTTTAAGGCCAGCTTGGGGAATTTAACGAGGCTCTTTCTCAATGTACAATTGGCAAAGGGGCAGTAGCTCAGTGGTACAGCACTTGCTTAGCACATAAAAGTCCTTTGATTCAATCCCTACTAATGAAAACAAAAGCAAAAACAAAACAAAACTAGAAATTCAAGGCAGGTTCACAGAAGGTTTGTGTAGGGAAAATGAAAGCTGTCAGAATCCAAATGCAGTCACCTGTGTGAAGTTCTAACAGAAATAATAACTAAAAGCTGAGAAGTTATGAGAGAGATCTCATGAATGTATGCCTAATGAGTAGGAATACTTGCGCAACCTTGCACAGTGGCCACACAAACCTAGGCCATAAGCAGTTCCACAAGGATGGACTATATCTTTTGCCTTGCACTGGTACACTCTTGTTATGGCCTGCCAGGGTTTAGATCTAGAATGTTCCACAAAGACTCCTGTGTTTAGATGCGGGAATTTTGGAAGGTCACTGGATGAGGGGTATGCCATACTCATTAGTGGATTAGTTCATCTACAAGTTAAGCAGCTGGACATGCTATTAGGAGGAGGGTTATAGTTGGGGGCCACTGAGGTGTGATTTAGAAGGTTTTTTTTTTTTTTTTTTTAAGACACAATGGTATTTTATATGATTGCAGTCAGGACAGATTTTTTTAAAAAATTTTTTGGGAACAGAGTCTTGCTATGCAGCTTGGGCTCATAGTGATCCTCCTGTCTC